CTCCGATCACAAATGCAGACATGGTTTTATGTTTACGTGGCGCGATGCAACACAACGCGTAAAAAGACAGTACAAGTCATTATAATCAGTAATTATGTCCCCACCGGATGCAACAAATGCCTCGTTTGTAATGGGTTTTAATGTTTTTGTCTTGTCGCTCCGGCCGGACAGGGCATCACAGTAACATTTCCGTCTCACGCTTGAGGTATTCGGCCAATCATAACGCACTGGATAGCTGGCCAATCACAGCACACCTCGCTTTTCAGACCGATGAGCTTTGTAAAAATCGACGCGTTTCAGAAAGGCGGGGCATAGAGGAGAAACAATAATGTACAGTATGTGGAAAATAATGTGTTTTTTGAAACCGCATAAACACATTTCACTACACCAAATACACAAAATAATGTTATTTTTAGCAACATCATATGACCCCTTTAAAGTATGTTTTAAATCATAATGTTTGAATTAACTTGCTTACTTAACTGACTTGTTTGAATTAATTTTAAATGCTTTTTAAAAAAGGTTTACATTTATTTTAATAAGAATTACATTTATTTGGATGTTGACTAACATACTAAAAAGCACATTTAAAATAGTTGATATTAATTTGAACTATACTGCAGTATGGTATTTTTTATGGAATTTTCTTTAGTTTTACGAACATATAATTACTAGTGCTGGGCAATGATTACATTTTTTTTAATCGCGATTAATCACATGGTTTTTCTGCGATTAATATCGTGATTAATCACATTGTTATGCACAAAATTCAATAATGAATTCAAAAGTAGTGTATTGTGCACTTTTTTCATTTAAAAGTACTGCTATATGAACAAAAGTGCAATAACATTTGGTTTGCAAACACTTTAAACAAATAAGGTGCTTTTTTGCAGCAGTACTCCTTTTACGTAGTAGCAGTTAAAATATTTCTTGGAAATCTCGGTTACACTTTATTTCGATAGTCCACTTTAGACATTCTATTAACTATAAGTAACTTTGTAACTACATGTCAACTACATGTCAACTAATTCTCATTAATTTGCATCTACATGTCTACTAACTCTCAGAGTAGACTGTTAGGGTAGGTTTAGGGTTAGTAGGACAAAGAAACAAAGAAAGTGTTAGAAGATATTAAGCAGACAGTCTACTAATACTCTACTAACTGCTAGTTGACATGTAGTTACTTACTTACTTACTGTTAATAGAATGTCTAAAGTGGACTATCGAAATAAAGTGTTACCGAAATCTCAACTTAAACATGCATGTAATCAAATTAAATATAAAACCAAAGCTATTTGCCACTGCCAGGGCATTAACGTTTTTATGGAAAATATTTTGCAGCTTGGCGCGGTTCGTTTAGCCGTCCCTGGCTCGGTTGGAAGAGGTGGGCCAGAGCGCGGTTCAGTTGGGTTCGTGCGTGGTACGCTTGTAGTGTCGGAGCGCTGAACTTCTGATATGTGCAGCATGATTGCGTGAACATTTCTGAGCGGTAAAAGTGATAGATATGTAAAGTAATATATTGTGAGAGGGCCGTGTGTTACAGCGTCCCAAACGACTTAAAATAATAAACCACAGAGTTAACAAAACAATGCACTCTACTCTGTCTTCGCGTGCTATCGGAAACTTCCTGTTTCCCACTTATGAAGTCGTGATTACGAGCACGCTGCATTATTTCCTGTTAAAAAATAACAGTGAACAGTGGTTTGTGAATGTTGATGCTTAGCCTAAATAATTTTATCGGGAGTGCTCCTGCAGTCTTAGGCCCTCCCCAAATGCTCTCGTTGGTTGAGACGCGTGATGACATCCATCCCAAGCCAGTACTGATCAACATCCCACCCCTCCTGTGACCCATGGTTTGTCTGTATGTGGACATACATTTTTTTTTAATAAAAAAACAATTCTGTTTAATTCAAATTGCAATTTTGTTTTTCTGAGCAAAAAATAAATATAAATTTTTCCCTGATTTACAGAAGAGACCCACTAAAATGTCATTCAGTGTAATGTCATCTTGTCAGGCATATTTACAAAAAAAAATCTATTTATGACATATTAAAAGACTAATTATTTTCACCCCAAATACTAATTAGTTGTAATTTTAAATTTTTTAAATGTGCCACTATCCTAGGTTTTGTCCATTTGTCAGTAAGAATGTTTTACTCATTTAAAGCACAATCAAATTTAATATGCTCCTTTATTCTTTTATACATGTTAATATGTACACGTCAGAATAAGCATGTTGTTTGAATTTTTACATAAATTTTGTGTTACACTGAATGACAATTTAACATTATTTCAACCAAATTCTGACATTTTATTCTCCGAAAACTAATTTGAAACCTTAAAAGTAGACACTTTACTTACATTTAATGTGCTTTCTATGGACATAAAATCACTTTTGTACATTTATTTTGATGTAGACATCTTAATGTCTTTGACCCACATCTATTCAGAGCCACAAGAGCAACGGACTTTCAAAATAATAATAATAAAAAAAAAAAAAATGCATTAATGCGCGATAAAATAATTGTTGGCATTAATCAATTAATGCGTTAACGCAACAATAACGCCTTAACTTGCCCACCTCTAATAAATACAAATATATTTAAATGCATGATATACATTTCAATATAAATTACATTATATAGTTTAGTTTACCATCAGTTCTTGTAAGTACATTCAGCAATTTGACTGTGCTAGTTTAAAAACAACAGAAGCAAATTTTTAAATTGCATACAAAGATGTACTTAAGTCCTACTTAAGTTGGTGAAAAAAGCACTCTTACATTCAACAAATTGCATTTAATACAAATCTAAACTATATAACAAAAGTCCGTCTTAAAAGATATAAAGTTTTAAAGTGTATTTTCTGTAATAAGTATGTTTTTTGTTTTTAAATTTATGCTAAAATGTATGACTTTTTCAGAAGGTTCAATCATTTGTAGAAATACCTTTGAATGTCAAACAGCCTACAGAGAGGCTAATGTACATAATACTTGCCAGAATAATACCTCAAACTGTGCTATTACCTTTAGTGATGAATAATCATCATTGAAAATTATGAACACCAAAAAAAATCCTCAAAATATGCACTGTGGCACAGTTTTGCAAGCGTAAGCACCTCCAAATCTAGTTTATAGAACAATCATTGATAATTATGTTGCTTTGTATATTGAACACTGATGTCATACTACTGAAATCATATTACTGAGGACCATAAACGACACGAGGCAACACATTACAGTGATATTATCACACTTACAGTATGTCTTACAAAATCCTTTACCTGAGATAAAATCACTGTAACTGTAACACACAGCCTCAAGTGGTTTATTGCTATATTATTTGGCTTCAGTGCACTAGTTTAAATGCTCAGAGTTTGTTGTTGAAGAATTTGCTCTGAAAGACAGCAGACATGGTTAATATGGGTCATTGTGGTGGGGTTCACATACCCTGCTTGACAAATACAGAGGCTCTTTTGTACCAGCACATTATATTGCGCACAGCTTTAAAAAGTCAAGCTAATCATCACCCTCCGATCTGAACGGCTGCTGCCGGGGCCATAGCAGCCCTTTAATACGCCATTAATACAGCATACAGAACAACAGGCCTACTTTTCTCTGTATGGTCATGATTGCGTAAAAAAATGGTGATGGAGAATGAAGGAGCGGCTATAAAACACTCTGACGTAAAAGCTGCTGTCTACCATCACCACATGCTACACAAACGTGAAATATTGACAACAAACATTGTTTTGGGGAATTCTTATGGAAATGTAAAAATACTCGGTCACACTTTATTTTAATGTCCAATTTTCTCTATTAACAAACCATTAACTACAACTTTTGCCTCAATAAACTCATGATTTGCTGCTTAATAATAGTTAGGTAAGGTAGTTATTAAGTTTAGGTATTGGGTAGGATTAGGGATGTAGAATATGGTCATGCACAATATGTGCTTTATAAGTACTAATAAACAGTCAATATGTTAATAATAGGCATGCTAATAAGCTACTAGTAAGAATTGGTCCCTATACTAAAGTGTTACAAGATATTCTTTAAATAAACAAACTATGGTGATGTAGCTCAGTTTGTCCTGACTTCACTGATAAGATTGGACTGGATTTATGTAACAGCTGATGTGTAGTTAAAAATATTGTAAATTGTTATTTCTATTGTGACACTCATTTTTTTTTTTTTTAAGTGTGGAAGTATTCCCTACTGAAAAAAGGAGGCGAGGGAAAAAAGACTCGTGAAGTCTGTAATGGTGAAATAAAAGTAAAAACACCTATGCAAAACAACAAAATAGACAAAAAGGTGCTGGTCTGGCCATGTGAGAACTGGAGAACAACAACACAGTAAATACACTGTATTGCAGGGAGAGTGATTACCATCATGGTTTGGTGGACATACCACAGTAATAATAGTATTGTCTGAAGTTCCTTGGATTGCCATGGTATAAAAATAAGGTGATAAGTCAGTTTCGTAGTATTATCATTTAATTCAATCAGATGGCTGTAAGCTTTTCCTCAGTGTAGTATAAAAAAAATAACTTTCCAGTACGTTGAAAAAATGTACAGTACCTCCTCCAGGGTGTCATCCTGTAGTTCAGGCGGCCCCAGATCTATGCTCTTTCGTCCATCACGTTTCTGCTTCTGTTTGCTAGGGATCTTCTTGATGTTGCTGCCGTGACTGAGGCGCCGGACAGGGCTGGTCAACCACTTCTTCAGTGTATTTCCAGAGCGCTTGGGTCCAGGGGAGCTGCTCTGCAGGGAGTTCAGGGACGCCTGCGGCTGCAGTGTGGTCACAGACTCCGTCTTCCCTTCTGGGCCGCTAACTGCATAGTTTTCTGTAGGACAAAGAACAGAGAAGAAGGGTAAATGAAAGTAAAGTTCATTATGATGATCAGGCCTAAAACTACTTTTAAGGAATACTCCAGGTTAAATACAACTTAAGGTTTGTAATTTCTGCGTCACTGGCATTATTAGTTGGATTTGTGAAAATACTAGTAGGGAAAAATAGGATTCTCAAATACTCCACCCATCCACCCAATGACCAGAAAAACAGGCAGTCCCACCCCAAACTAATACCTTTGGTTGACATTATGGTTGGGATACTCAAACAAACAGAACAATGTTTTGAAAGCACCAAAAAGCCACAGTGTTTATGCTTTTCGGGGAGCTTACAGACTATGGACAGCATCTGTGGCAAGTTGTTGATTACCATATTCCACAGACTCACCCCTCAGATTGTTAAAAAGAAAACAAGCAGAAAATACATTTACAATAATAAACATACAATGGAAGTCTAACTGACAAAGAACCTATATAAATTCTTTAGTAAACATGTTTATTACGAGAGTTGTTAAGTTTGAATTAATTGAATTAACCCTAAACTAGTGAAATAATTATTTCCTCCCAGTCTCATTCAACATCACTTAAACAAATAATTGTCAATCAGCTTTCTTCTTTCCGGTCACAGAAAAATTTTCTTTAGTCAGGCATCAAAAGAGGACATTCAATAGAGACTCAGTCCGGAAGCTCTGCAGTTGGCAAGACCCACTTTCAGATGATCAATCCTCAATCTCCTAGCTTTTGAAACCAGACTACCAAATCCTCCTGTGTATCATCTCAAGCCTTGGTCCCTTGGAATCTGCACTATGTACTCATTCAGGGTTATTTAGGAGAGCAGGGGTGTTTAAGTCACATTAACTTTCCACAGGGGTGCCTCAGGGTTCAGTGCTTGGCCCCCCCTTCTTCTCAATATATACATCAACACTAGGACCTATCATCAAGTTTCTATTACTTTTTACGGTGTTCAACAGCATTCTCAGAGAGTATAACTAGACAGGTTAATCTGTCTAAAAGGAAATTAAAATGAGGAATCAAAGTAATCCAACAAATAAAGTTTTCAGCAGTATCACCAACAGATGGACTCAAGGGCTTAACCTAGACTGTATCCTTCAATCAGACACAACTAACAGAAGTGCTAACAGGAAGAACTAGCAATGCCAAATGTTTCAAATCTAACACCAGTCCAACATTAACCAACTCCCGCTAACTGGAAGCAAATATTATAATTCACTGTGAATAATGATAAACAAACATTTCAGATAAGAACTGAAAAACACCTACAGAGAATCACAGTACTGCTATTCTCTTCAAATGTAACACTATAACACATTCGTTCAAAGTTATTGATCACATTCCACAAATGCAAACCACACACCTAGCAAAGTCAATATTCTTGTGGTGTAGAAGAAGCTCAAGCAGACATTACCCACAATATTAAGGCACATTGCATCTAACTCTTTGACACTGTAACTGTTATATAATTTAAAACAATTGTAGGCTACTGTAACAAAGTCTTTTCTACTGTGTGTTCAAAAATAGGTGATCACTGAATTACAATTAGTTATAAATTAAATCAAATTGAATGCATCCCATGTCATTCTAGAAATGCACTGGTATATTATGCATAACATAACTGCTAATATCAGCAGGTTTTTAAATTATCAGAATCCATCTGATTAGGTAACAAACAGGAGACAGTATATAACATTGCTCATCATATGAAACTACTATGGTTATTAGTCAAATTTTCAATGTTAGTGCATTCCTAATACTAATCATGCACTATTTAACATGTTAAAATGTCAAACAAATTGCCATTATATCTTACCGAAGCATCACTGAAAACATTCCATATATTTGTCTCTCTTGCGCATACAGGCCTGAATCATGATAAGACCAAGTATCATTACCAGCAGATGAACTTGTTCTCCAGATGCCCATTGTGTTGATGACATCTGTGTGTGTCGAGTATGGCCTTTAATGGCTAACTCATTAGAGGAAGTGACCTTGTGAGAGTTGGTCATAAAGCTTGTTGTGAAAACATAAGTGAATTTCTGCTACAACACACTGATTCAGCAGAAATCACAGCTGTCTGAACTGAGCATTGTGCTTAAACAGAACGAACGCTGCTCTTCACACATGCAAATCACACTGTTCTGTGTTTGTCTCCCCAGGCTCGATACAACACGTGTGAGCCATTCACGAGAACCAGCCATCACAGCAGTGCGTGTCCTGCTGTTTGATGGAGTGCATCCCGTCAGGTGCTGCAGTGCTTTTTGAAGAGTGAACCTGCATAATACACAGACTGACTGACAAATGTGCAGTCTTGTGAGTGTGTGATTATGTGTGGAGTAAAGAGAGGCTTTAAGGAGAGCAGTCATTAAGCACTGCCCTTCACACATACACTCTCCTCTTGCTGCTGCCTCAGTAACAGAGACAGACAGAGAGAGTTCTTTGTTCTTTTAAGTGGTCACATCACATTTCCACAGAAAGCAGCATCTGGATCATATGACTACTTTTACTACAAAGCAAAAGGAACTCGCCATTGACACATATCAGAGTCCTGCTCCTGCAGGAAATCTTGCAGAACTGAACAACAGGACATAACATACAAATATGAAAACATTCTGAATAAAATTGGACTTTGGCAAGTATATTATAATGGCCCAGTTTCACAGACGGGGCTTAGCTTAAGCCAGGACTAGGCCCTAGTTAAATTCAGATATTTAAGCAGCTTTTATAAAAATGCCTTAGAAGAAAACGTTACATGTGTGCGTCTTGAGACAGAACAATGAAACTTATATTTTTTAAAGATATGTCAGTGCAATATATTTTTAGTTGAGACAGCTCAAACATGAATTTTAATCTGGGACTAGCCTTAAGCCATGTCTGTGAAACCGGGGGAATGTGTCATAAGTCTGTTACTCTTCATTTGGGTAGCAACATTATTAGGAACTGCAACATTGCATGCAATGTTAAAAATGCACAAGTTAAAAATATAAGGGTGACCTCCTTAGATGAAAGTGCCATTAACAATTCAGACCAATACGATATACAAGACATACTCTTTGCTGTTTCTCTTATACAATTGAATTTAGACAAATATTTCTCACATTAAAGGGGGTCATATGATGCGATTTAAATTTTCCCTTTCTCTTTGGAGTGTTACAAGCTCTTGGTGCATAAAGAAGATCTGTAAAGTTGCAAAGACTAAAGTCTCAAATCCAAAGAGATATTCTTTATAAAAGTCAGCCACGCCTACCTAAAACGGCTCGTTCTAACACGCCCCCACATGTCTACATCACGATGTGGGAAGATTTGCATAACGCCGCCCAAATGTTCACGCAAAGAAAGAAGGCATAACTTTTATTCTCGCTGCAGTATTGTTGTTGCCGCCGCCATGTCGTGAAGGCGCTGTGTGTTTCGTTGTGAAAGCGAAACTACTTTATTTGGCCTTCCAAAAGAGGACGATATCCGCTTCGTCATGCCTAGAGCAGATCCGTGCTGGTTGCTGAGGGAATACATCAACTTCATGCTGTGGATCGCCAGATTGGCTTTCACCGTGGACGAAGCCCGGGGTCGTCACATGTGGTTGCTGCAAGCCAGCCGGCCGCTCCTTCGTCGAATCCACCGGCCGTTCCTCACTCAAGCCGCTGTGTGTTTCGTTTGTGAAATCGAAACTACTTTGTTTGGTCTTCCAAAAGAGGACACGACTAGAAATCAGTGGTTAAATTGTATTTACAACACTGTTCCAGAACAGTTCAACCCAAATATTCAGATGTGTGCAGCGCATTTTATGGAGGACTGTTTCCTGATCCTGGGAGAGTAGACTACAATGCCGGCTGTTCTGACTCAGACTGTAAGTACGTTTCCATATTTAAAGGATTTGCCACTGATGATTCAAATGCGAGTTTTGGGCAGTGTAGAGTAGCGCTTGTTTGTCATTTCTCCGATCACAAATGCAGGCATGGTTTTATGTTTACGCGGCGCGATTCGATGCAACGCAACGCGTAAAAAGACAGTATAAGTCATTATAATCCGTAATTATGTCTCCACTGGATGCAACAAATGCCTCGTTTATAATGGGTTTTATTGTTTTTGTCTTGTCGCGCTAGGACACTGCATCACAGTATGTTAAGGGGCATAACATTTCCGTCACACGCTTGAGGTATTCGGCCAATCACAACGCACTGGATAGCTGGCCAATCACAGCACACCTCGCTTTTCAGACCAATGAGCTTTGTAAAAATGTACGCGTTTCAGAAAGGCGGAGCATAGAGGAGAAACAATAATGTACAGTATGTGGAAAATAATGTTTTTTGAACCTTAAACCACAAACATTTCACTACACCAAATACACAAAATAATGTTCTTTTTAGCAGCATCATATGACCCCTTTAAAGGAATAGTTCACCTCAAAAATGAAGATTCTGTCATCATTCACTCACCCTCATGTAATTCAGAATCAGAATGAGCTTTATTGTTAGGTATGTTTACACATATGAGGAACTTGTTTTAGTGACAGAAGCTCCCCAGTGCGACAGAATGACAGTGACAAGACAAAACACAGATAATAAAAAGAATAATATACAAATATACAAAATAGACAATGTGCAAAATGGCAAAAACACAATATACAAAATAGACAATTTAGTATGTACAGGTATGTAAGGTGCAAATTAAAATGTAAATAAGTATGTGTAATAAATAAATAAATGTATAATAGTGTTGTGTGTTCTACATTTATTGTCAAGTGTTCAGATGGATTGCCTGGGGGAAGAAACCGTTCCGTTTACATTTTCGGGTAGGTTTAGGGTTGGGTTTAGTGTAGGGCATATTTCCAACATCATAGAGCATTAACTTTTAGCGACAGTCCTTGGATATTTGAATTCTGAACCGCCGCAATACATACCTGAAGCGGCGGAATAAACACAGAAATATGTACCCATATCAACGTAATAAAAACGTGCAAGGGTTCACGTATTGAACCCGTGTT